CTGGTTTCCTACAAAGCACCCATTAAAGATTTTAGTCCAAGATTCCATTCTTAAAAAAAAAAAAAAGGCATGGTCACCCCCACTTTCAGATTTCGGACAGGAGATTCTTCACAATATTCAACATTTTTTTAAACAGCCAAAATATGGAAAAATATTGAAAGTCAACAATGAAAATAAATCTGTGTTGCAGCTCTAATGGGTTCATCAGAACCCAAAAGTTAGATTAATTAATATTGCTGCACGATTAATCTAATTGCAATGTATTGTAATTGTATTTTTCTTGACAATTAAGCAAGTAGACTCATTGTACCATTATAATCGAATCTCAATCTTCTCCAAATCGTGCAGCGCTATTAATTAAGTACAACTATTTTTAACTGCATCTTTCCGGAAAAAAAACCCCACTTACTTAACCAAACAGACAGCAGACACCTGCTCCTATTGTCTGCAACAGGTCCAAGTCATGTTAAATCTGTCTGCCTTAACGGTCAAGTTTGTAGACAATGGAGTCCACCGGAGGAAACTAACAGTGTGAAGCTGTGAATGGAAATCCGGCGTATACTGGTGTGAACACAACAACCCAGACACCAGATATCCCCCGGAGGTTTCCGAGCATTTGGAAGAGTCAAAAAGAGACAAATCTCTTGGTTCTTCTGACGTGCCAGGGCTTATGTCACTTGAGGGTTTGGAGCGTTAAACCACCAGACGGTTTTCCAGTGAAGGGTGTCATTTTAAACGCTTGCCACACTTAGTCAAATGGGTGAACATTAGTGAGAAACTACCCTATGATCTGTGGAAGGAAAAAGAGGCGAGGAGGATAATAGGACACCGTTTCACTTTTCAAAACGTTCAGAGACCTTGAAGCTGGTAGTCTCAAGTCCAGTGAGTCCAGCGTCCTCATCTTTCTAATTCCAAATTTATGAGATGGTTTAAGGCCCCTCAGAAGTGGACTGTTTTTGTTTTGTTTTTTCTTTTCTGCAGGAAGCATTCTTCTCTAATGACAGGGGAAGTTAGAAGAAGGTCCATACAAACACTAAAAACAGGAAAACCAACCTAAAGTCAGGCCTCTTATTAAAAACGGGCTGACCAAAAAAAGCTGTGATCTTCAACACAACATCTGTGACCCAAAGACTTTCGCAGACGCTCCCCACACATGAAACATGACAATGCCCGACCTTAGTCAGGTGAAATGTAGGCTGGGTGGGACGAAACGCAGATCTGAGGTGATTAAATGACGAGGGCGTCGTATTTTGAGGCCGTATGTTTTGTTGTGGGTGAGGAGTTCATGAGGAGGTCCAGGTTTATGGTTTTAATAATTTAGATCAAAGCTTGGATAATACAGAATGAGAACTGAATGTGTGGCCTCATTCCCAGCACACAGGCACAATCCAGCCTCTGCATTAAACAGCAGCACAGGTGGGTTTTCCAGCCAATTGCCTTTTCCAAAATTTTGATTAAAACTTTAAAGACAGACAACAGTTATCTTATGATGGAGCTGTTTGCAAAGTGGAGGAAGAGAGAGAAAATAGCAAGGGACAAAGAAGAAAGTGTCCAAAGTATGGGATTATTTCAAGCTAAAGAAAACAACAACTCTGTAATGTTACTGTCCGTCCACCGTAAAACGAAACTTGTGTCGCCTCGGCAACAGCACGACAGCGCCTTATCGGAAAGCAGCCGGTGTTCTGCCAGCGGACCACGGACAAGGTAACAGTAACTTTAGCATTTAACTGAAATCATGATTGATTGTTGAGTTGAAGCCAACGTAAGCCGCAGACCTCAGCTGAAAATGTGACCACGTGCGTTTGTTGTTCTCCTTTTTGGGCCGTGAGTTGTAACCTCACAGTCGGGAGTTAACTGGGTGTCTGGGAGCTGCACCTTTTAACTCACCTGCAGCTCTCTCTGTAGCTCAGACAAACCCTGCTTCCTGCGTGTGCTAATCCATCCTTTCTCCCAGATTCTTTGTCTTTATAATTGCCATCTTTATAATAACAAACAGCTGTTTCATGTGCAGGAACGCTCATTTCCCGTTTCACATTTCACGTGTGTTTTCTTGATAAAAACAGCATCGGGTGACACAGCCACTGTCAGCTCCTGTAATGTGTGTGACCCCCTGTCACCGATCAGTCACGTAGTGTGAACGCCACAACGACTTCAAGACTCCCATCACAAGACGGCAAGTTGTGTAGTGTGACCAGCACGGCCATCAGACAACGCTGAAAGTCGTGTAGTCTGCACAAGCCTAGTATAACTTGTATAGCACTCGGGTGATGTTTGTGTTGGTAAAGCAGCTGTCTGGTTGTTGGTATGATGTTTGCTGTATGACACACTATGAATTTCTGAAAGGACTAATAAATATCTATCACCTATAAACGTGCACAGCTGATCCGTTACCAGGGGTTAGTGTCATTGTTAGCTGCAGCCCTAATTGTAATATTTAAGTATATCTTAAATGCTGTCTTCCAAATCTTTATGACTGTGCTACTGTGGTATTTAAGTAAAAGTATGTAAGTATAATCGGGAAAATGTACTTGAAGAATTAAAAGTACTCAATGCGTAAGGCAAAATGTCTCGACTGCAGAGCTTCATATATTTGTGAAGCCGGAACCACTAACTGTTCTACATGAGAAATAAAATGACGATAAACTAAACAATCATCAACTAATGTACGAGCAGTACTTACATAAGCTGTTGGGCAGTTTATTTTATAACAAAACATCATATTTTTTAAACTCTTCATATGTTTTGTGTGTAAAAATCTTACTTTGTAAAGTAACTGAAGCTGTCAGATAAATGCGGTGAAGTAAAAAGTACAATATCTCCCTCTGAGATGTACTGAAGTAAATAGAAAGTGGCATGAAAAGAAAATACTCAAGTAAAGTACAGTTGAGTTAATGCACTTAGTTACTCTCAACAAAATGATGTGATTGAAGATTTTGTCCATACCCTCCATCCCTAACCCAAAATATTAATTTCTGATATGAACTGTATTTGTCACATTGTAAATTTAAAGTTAATATCTCTGAAATTTGCTAAAACTCAGAGGGTGCAGTCTCTCGTAGTGTTGGAATTTGAAGAGTGGGGTCCCTTTTTTAAGCTGGAATATATCTAATCGTCCCATGGATATGATATTTAGTTATATTTCTGTTGCATGTTCCTCAGCACTGCAGCATGTTTAAAACTTCACATCCACATGGAAGGTCAAAGTGAAAAGCTCTGTTACACTCCAGTCTCTTTGAATTGGACACACATGACGATGGACACTTCATAGCTCTGCGATTACAGCAGTGATCATCCTGCGTACCAGTGTCTCTTATCCTGCAATACCTGTCAAAATCTGTTTCCATCTGTTTCCATCAATTTTTTACATTTTTTTTTTTTTTTTTACATTTCAACTGATCACCTACATTTACTTCTTTCAGGGGGAAACTAAAGACAGTGATAAGGTTTCGTGTCATGAAACCATTTTACTAGACTTAGCTTTTTCTCAGAAAGCTACTTTCAAGAAACTCTGCAATTTCACTGGTTCAAGATTACAACGATTTGCATCAAGTCAAATAAGAGCGGGCATCAAGCAAGGTGGAGAGAGTAGTTCAGCAGCTCTTTACCTACCTCTCAACTGCACAGAGATATTCTCCAGCACTCCTCTGCCTGCTCACACTGAATTATTCAAAAGGAGAGGAGGATACAGTATGACTTCTAGGTCACTATCATTACAAAGAAAAAGAGACTGCCTTAAACTTAGCACATGGAAGCGCAAAAAAGTTAATTATTCATAAAACCTAAGTAGCTGCTGTAATATATTTGTACCTTAAACAAAGGCTGGACAATAAACCAAATTACCAACTGGGAATTTATTCCTATACCAAAATTGACTGTTTTCACACAGTTCCCATTAAACTTTTGTGGATTATATAAACTTTGATTATAGTAGAGTGGCATTGAGCCATATTTTGGTTTTAACACATACAGAGGATATGTACTAAATGAATTTTATCATGATGTTTATGACAAAAACAATTTCAAATTGGGTGTACTAAAGGTAAAGTAAGGGAACATAACATTTCTAGCTTAATGCTTCTCATCTTACCTGATCTAGCCAGATAGCGCTTAAAGCACAGAGCTAGTTCACAGGTTATCTGCTGCTACCCCAACATTTTGCCACAGGCTTTCTTAGGGCTCACGTTTATCTCTGATTTATGTGTCAGGTCCATGCCTCCACCGGTCAGCTGGAGCTTGTTCTCTGAAAAGTCTTAGTCCAAGACTATACACCTAACTTATCAAAATACCATGTGTTCCTGCTCTTCCCTCCTCTTGCATTTTCATCACTGATCAGGACTAACCTGAACTCTCATCATCTCTCTTTCCCTGCATACTCCAGCTCACCCTTCCTGCCACCACAATGAGCTCATTGTAAGTTGAATAATAAGGAGCTTTTCATGTTTTGTGTTGATAGACAGCTTTAAACAGAGTATAGACTAAGAACTTTCCTGTTTCTAATTGCATCTCCCTGCACTGAAGCCTAACCCCCTCAGACTGCAGTCCTACTTTTGCAGCCTGCTGGCTAACTTGCTAGTAGGCTAATCTCTGCTGGCAACTTTCAGAGGCATCAACTGAGGTCTTACAACTGGGTTACTCAAGTCTAAAAACGTGAAATGTGTTGGAAGCGCCTGTTTTTACGCTGCAACTGACCACTTTGTTTAGTGCCACAGCTACAATCCCAGAGGAAGTTTTGCGGGTTTCCAAACACAAGAACCACAATGGCGGTGCGCCTTTCTTTGAAAGCAGCAACGCACGGCGAGTAACACGCACATGCGGCGTGTGTGAGCTCATTAACTGAACACAGCAGCACCAGACAGCAGAAACAGGCACCCCTTTCCTTCCTCGCTGCATTTCTTCCAAGTTTGCGCCATATTGAGTGCGCCTGCGGAGCCCAACGGGACGTAGCGACATTGTTTCCAGGAAAACAAAAGCCGCAAGAAAACAAAGTAGCAGCCGCTTACCTTGGCGATAGCCTTCTTATATCTCATGACAGCCTGCTGGATGAGTGTGTGGACTTTGATATTTCCATCCCCGCACGGCACCACCACCCGGGTCCTGCCAAAACACACCGTGACTTTCATGGTTCAGTATCCGAGATCTTGCCCAGACTCGGAGTAAAACCGAGGAGAGGAGGAGGAGGAGGAGGATGAATCCGAGTGAAAATAAAAAAGGTGCATGGGTTTTTGTTTGTTCGGCTCCGCAGCTGCCTCAGTATTCCTTTATAAAAGCGAGGACTAGAGCTCTTTCCGCTTCTCCCCGCCGGGCGACATTGTTTTCTGTGTTTTCAGACCACCTGTTTAGCTTCTCTCTCTCCTTCCTTCACTCTCTCGATCCCAATCCCTGTCTCTCTCCCTCCCTGCTGAGCTAATGCTCGTTCACGTGGTGCGTTCGGGAACGTTGGTATCCGGACTTCAGTGTGACTTCAGTGTGACTTCAGAAGAATGGACGACAAAAGACAAGTACTAAATCTATTTAAATTGGAGTTAATAGTTTTTGTCAGTGTGACCAGGAGCAATAAAAAAACATAAACATGTTTAATAGTAATGTAACACAATCGAGGAGCGTTCAGTTCCCTGGTTGTTTGGTGACCAAATTCAATGGTTGGGATATAAAAATGGAAAGTAGGAATGGTGGATCAACAGAGGTGTGGGATTTAAGGGACAGATAGCGTAATTTAATATAATTTAATAGGCGATGTTTTCTTACTGGGAATCTGTAAATTATTAATGGTTGTATCTCTAATCTCAATTTAATGTATACAGTTGTCTCAAGCTGTGGATATAGAAAACATTGTCCCTTAGTGCTAAAGAGAGAACGGAGCAGTAAGTATTTAGGTAAATCACACGGCCACAGAAGATGCATTGAAGCCTAGATAACTTAAATATAATATATAAATTAAACATCAGGGACAACTTTGAAACAAGACAAACGCTTCTGAAGGTAACGTTTACGAGGGGAACGTGAAGGCATCAGATGAGCAGGGAAGGCCACAGCTGCAGTCTGTCCCCCGCTGTGGTCAGGATAGGTAATGTTTGGCGCGCAGGGGAGCAATGCTGTACTCACACCTCACAGAGGATAGCAGTGGTTAAAATAATTTTAAAACCAATACACTGATTTAAAAATAAAGGTAGATTACAGCTACTGCAGCATATAATGTGTCATCACAAGAATACAAAGTGAAGACATTAGTCTTGGTGGACTGGTGTAATGTTTAAAGACTTGAGTTGAGATTTAAGGTTAGAATTAGGAATTACTATATATATATATATATATATATATATATATATATATATAGCACTTAATGATATAATCATCACTTGTTAAAAGCAACAGGGCTTCATGTGCACCTGCTCCTTTCCTATTTCAGTCGTTCCAACCAGCTCTGAAAATGAACCAAACCCCCAAATGAAAAGCAGTCCAAATCCATCTGGAGAGCTTTTAGGAACAGCTGCTCCTAGACACATGGACCACGTGGACTTGTCCCACTGAACACGTCTGTACCAAAGGGACCGGACTACTGTTAAAAACATCCAGCTGAGCCAGTGAATCATCTTTCATATTGTGCCTGCTTGACCAAAAAAAGAATTGCTCTGTGTCAGCTTTCACATTTAGTTCCATCCGATTACATTTTTAGGAAAGGTATGTCTTTCACTATTAAAGATGAACAAAAAAGACAGATACATGTTTACAGTGTGCAGTGAGACATCCCTGCTCTGCCTCCTGATTGAAGATCGTAGGTTATTGTGCCCGTAAGGCCCAAAAATGGCTGCAACACAACGTTTAGTGAGAACATGAAAAGAGAGGCGAGCCAATGAATTTCAAGAATGTGGAAAGTGTGTGTGTGTGTGTGGTTTGCATGGGCAATGGTTAAACTGGAGTGCTCTACCTTATAGTGCCAGCATGCATCTGGGAGACTGTTTTAACTCTTAACACAGCTGGAGCGTTTACAGGCCACCAGCCACAGCCTCAGCAGCTGTTACAACGAAGTACACAGCCTCAACTTTGGAAAAATATGAGCACATGTTCATGGTGGTTTTCACAAAAGGTAAGAAATGTGCAATCACACTGGTAGGTTGAAAAATAATAAATGGGCTATTTTTTAGTGACTGGGACTATTGTAGGTGTTGTAGCATTACAACAGACTTTACATTTTGAGACATTTGCCGAATAGCCGTCTTTCTGGCTACTTACAGTCCACCAGTAGAACGTACTTTTACAAGCAACAGTGATGAAAAAGACACAATTTATTAAATGTTTTACTCCAAGATGAGAAGTGACATCTTGATTGTAAAGTGACACTAAAGCTGTGTAAGATAAAATCTTATATAGTAATAATGAAAGAATAATGACTAACAATCATTTTTTGTGAGAAACATTTTGTGTTTCACCAAAAGAAGCCACTTACTGTCTTTTTCTATAGCTTTCAACTGCATCTCAACGGCAAAAACTATACAATATACAGAAACTCCAATAACTTTGGAGGACCATGAGATGTGTCTCTGTCAAACTACTGTTTCTTAGGTCAGGAATGAACTTTCACACTCACTATGTATAAGGTACTTGGAACAGAAGTCGACAGCCACCAAGCGCGGCATTTGGGCTCTTTGGACACAATTTTTAATATGATAATATTTAAGTTGAATGAAGGAGATTTACTTTTGGGACCAGTTCATAGTCTTAGATGATCAGAATGTTGCCCAGTAATGTGTAACACATTTTTCTTGTCAGTTTAAATACGCAAAACAACAGCAACAATAAGATCCACCAACATTAGGGACATACAAGAGCAGATTTACTCCCAGTAATAAGACATAGGCAAATTTGCATGTTCAAACTGTTGGGTTTACTTTAAAGCCTTCACCAGGGGCAGGTAGGTGTCGCCGAAAACATTTCAGGTTTGCCAGCTGATTGCAATCAGTAAAACTGAAATATGCAAACAAAAGTTTCAATACAACAGCATAACTCAGATTCAGACTCAGACTCAGAGAATACATAACTCTTGCTTAGAGTAAAATTCTTATATATGATCACAGAGTGTGTGCAGTGCTGAATAACCCCAGGAATAATCACTTACATCTTATTTTACATTATTATGGTATTTGTGTAATCAGCAGTTTTGATTCCTGAATGAATGACTCCTCATAGAGATCACCAAGCCACTTTGGAAAAAAATAATGAACCACATTTTTAACCTTATAAAAGCAAAAAAAAAAAGAGAAATGAACATGTGAGTAGTACAAAGTCTAAAGGAAGTCCAGAGAGAGTTGCAGACAACATTATATTTGAACAAACCTGCTGAGCTCCCTGAGTACGGACAGGACTGTCTGTAAATGTTGCAGCACTGGTTTGAGAAGCCCTAAAACAACAGTGAAACAACTAACATGTTAACATGAACATCCACCTGTCAGATATGACATTCGTGTTTGGCAAAGCATCATATCTGAATCAGTAGCGACATCTTGTGGTGAACAGTGGACAGTTTGAGTGGGATTTAAACCTCTTGGCTAGGATTTCCAACCCTCATTTAACACAACCTTCTCACAAAGAGTAGATGAGATTTAGTGTATAACTGCTTCTTATTCAATTTAATCATAAACAGTTTAAGTACTTAAGTTCTTTGTGTGGATGGTTTTGGGACGAGACCTTGGCAACCCGTCATTGTAAATAAGAATCTGGTATTAATTCAATTGCCTGGTAAAATAAATAAAACTAAAAGACACAACAAACATGTTGGCTATCTGAGCCAGGAACCCTGAGGGACAACAGCCTAAAAAAATGGCTACAAAAGTCCTTGGACACATTATCTGCAGCCTCCTACACGCTACATGCTCTGAGACACGAACATTTACTGCAGACATTTTAATGTTGATGTTTTAATCTCGGAAGTCATACTACAAGAAATGCAGCAGTCAGATCATTATATCCTCACAGCTGCTTTGTGCGGAATTATCTCTTGAGCTGACCCATAACATCAGTTTGTTGGCAATGAAAATGGAAAGTTATGGAAGCTTGACCTCTGAGAAATTTTTATCTTCAACTTGCCTGAAAGGACTGTGAAATTAAACAAATTAGGCCAGTTAAGCTGCAACAGCCACAACGGACGCCAAATACCTCTTTGATGGTATTATCAGCATGTAATTGTGTTACGCGTTCATCCCAGCCTAATTTTGTGCTAAAGAGCTGTCTGGCCCCAGTCATATTTGGCTCCCTGCTGTCAGGCCTTTGTGCCCCCTGAGGGTCCCCCTTCTGCTGCTGGTACTCGACCATCTGGAGCCTCCATCCTCTAACTACAGGACAGGCCAAGGAGATAAAGGAGGAGGGAAGGAGGAGGAAGAAGGAGGATGAGGAAGATGCGGAAGAAACTGTAGGACAAACGACCAGAGAATAGAAGGAGAAATGGGAAACAACATGAAAAATGATATTGCTGATTTTTCTTTATTGTATTTCTGGATGGGTTTTCTTTTTCTTAAAGGTAGATAATGATACACTTAGAGGGACATTTGTCTCTACATATATCTAAAACTGCTATAAATTCGATCATTTTTAAATGTACAAAATACTGCAACCTGTGTATATTATACTCTTGCACTTTACATAAACACAGCACTCAAAAAACACCTCATTCAGTTCTGGTGCTTGCTGAATTAGGTGCTTTTTCGTCCCACTGTGGAAGATTAAAGGAGGGACTCGGCCATGCAGAGCAGTGCCCTTTGATAACAGCAGGGGCAGTGTTTGAACAGTACGACCTCTCCTGGCACGCAGGAGGACAGATGGTGGCTCCTGGGTCAGCAGGAGTCTGATATACAGAACAGAATCTACAGCACACCCACAGTACTGTACACACCTTTGTATCAGAATGAAATGGGACATAGAAAGCATTACATTAGAAAAACATTTGGAATATTTTGTTACATGTATGTAATGTAGTTTTAAAATCACAACATAGTCATCTTGGATCTCTTCTGGAACTTGAAATTGACTTCCTTTTTTTTATTCAGTGATGCTGATGAGGATGTCAGCTGGCATTTACCGGTTAAAGACTAGATGACACAAACCTTCCCTCAACAACTCTACTTTTGCAAGCTCTTTTAATATAGAAACTTTACTATATATTTTCTAAGGGTAAAAATCAAGGAATTTAGTATTGGTTTGTTACCCACAGAGACATTCTTTAAAACGCTGTAGTGTTCAAGGATATCAAGCATTCTTCAGGAGTAAATCCAGATCCAGGACTCTTTCATTGTCAAGTATTACAAATATGCATGTGGAAGTAGATAATACTTTATTTTCAGAATGGGGTGTGGTGTTAGTTAGCCTATGAACTTTGCACTCGTTGCTGCTGGTAAT